GTCAACGAGTTTCTCCAACCTTCTTCCCGTAAAGAATTAACAGTTCCATCTACAAAACCTTTCAACCACACACATGCCTCCTCCGGTAGGAGAATCGTCGCCCTGCTCCCTTCTCTGATTTTCAAGTGAACCTTCCCCTTTGTCCTTCCCTGCTCGAACAAGAAAGATTTGGCTTCAATGATCAATTCCAATCTCCATTTCCCTGCCAGCTTGAACTTCCTCTCCTCTTCCATGGTTTTTGGCATAACCTCTTGTTTCCGCTACATGGATGAATTCTAGCACAGTTTAAAAGGATCATAAAATTTCTTATTATTCTGATTTAACATCCCAAGTTTGTTGCTTTTCTCATTTCTTTTTCTGAGGCTCAGTTTGGAAGGAGTATAAATATGTAGAGTGTAAAAACTTGGTATTTTGTGTTATTTTGTATGTATTTGTACTCTTTCCAATGGATTCATTTTCCTTTTTAATTTTGCATAGATCAAATCAACTAAGTTGTTTCTTTTCTTCCCAACTATTGGGTGACCATAAATCTACTTTCCATCATATGGATGATTCTTCATATGAATAATTTCATAAAATTGCATTTTGAAACATAAAATGTATAATGTTTATAATTGTTAGATGATTGATTTTTATTTTATTTAATGCTTGAAAGTAAAGACTTATTGCTTATAAACTTCTATTTTATGGATATTTGTACATTCCATCATTCTAACTTGGTATATTACACGTATTATTTATAAACTTCAATTAATTTCTTTCTTAATTTTTAGGACTTATGCCTCACGGCCCTCACCTTTTTGGGCTCGCCTCAACTATGCCTTTATCCTTTTAAAACATTGCTTTGTATTGTGTTTCTTTTGTTTCTTTAATAGATTTCCTTTTATTATAAAAAAAAGGAGATTTGGGGAAGAGGCTTTGGGAGGTGTTGGATTTACAAACCTGTAATATTGATAGTCTTTTCTGATTTTGTTTTGTAGTTTGAAGGTGTTGCCTTAACACCTTAGAAGCTTGTACCCTATTTTCTTATTTTAATAAATTTTCTTTTACCATAAAAAAAAGTCAGGCTAGTGTACATAACTTTGAAATACAAGGTAGTATTATGAAGATTTCACATTTTTAGAGGCAAGGCAACACTGCAAGTGTGCGGTGCATTATTTCTTGTCCTCTTTTTTTAACCCTTGAGAAATTAGAAAATTAGAGATGTACTCTAACCATTGCTTTACATATGCCCACGTAAGGTTGTTTAATTACCAAAGAACCCTCGTGTGAAAAGACAAAAACACCCTTGACATGGACATGTGTAAATGCAAAAGTTAAAGTGTAATAAGGATTTAAATATCGATATGATACGTCCGATACGGGGCATATCGTATCGGTATTGGTTAGTAATGGTACAGGATACGCCACGAATACAAGCATATCCTGTCAATCATTCGTATCGAATGGATACAGATGCATATTGGCTTGTATTGCATTGTATCAGCCGATACGCTGCAATACGGGCCGATACGCACGAAACGCGTTGCGCCCGTTCTCCATAAAAACGCGAATGAGGTGATTCGAAGTTGAGTCACCTCACGCGCGTTTAGAAATCTCTGCATTTCCAAACCAATAAACCACGCTTCATTTTGTGATATAAAGTAAAATAAAATAAATTTTATTAACGTTTTTCTATTCACATGCAATTTAAATAAAAACACATTTATATTTAGCAACTCTAACTAAAAATTAAAAATAATACTTAAAAATAGTATTTTATAAACTAATAGAATAAATAATGTATCAAATCCACATTTATATAAAAAAGATAATTTTTAATATCAAGAAATTTATAAAATAGAATATTAATAATAGAATAATTATATTAATACTTAAAATTTATAAATTTGCACATGATATAAATCTTAAATTTTTTATATACTTTTATTAGTTATTAACTAATATTTTAATTTACATTAATAAGTAATAATAACATATTTATTATTTACACAAAAATAAAAATATCATATACAAAATATTGAAGAATATAATATTTAATTGAATCTTTCAAATCCATTAACCTACATTTATTTCATAAAATTTATATAAATAAAAATATTAATAATGGAATAATTAATTTAGTAATTAAAAATTATGAATTTGTATATGATATGCATCTTAGAAATTTTAACAAATTTGATATACTTTAAGTTACAATTATATTTTTATAAATTATTAAGATTTTTTGATTTGCACTTGAAAATTTAATATTTAGTTGACGTTTTCTTAGTGCTAAAAAATTAAAATAGTAAAATAAAAAATAATTGATATAATAATTAAAATATAATAGGTGCATTAGTGTCTTGGACTCTTGATTGATGCACTATAAATAAAATTATGCATCAAGGTTCATTAATCGTAATTTCTTCATATATATCCTTAATATTTACATTTTCTATGTATTTATATACTATTTTGTGATTATTTTGGTATTAAATATATTGTTATTAATATATTTATGAAACTTGTATATATTTCTCTAGTGTATCCACGCGTTTTCATCTTTTTTGTCCGTATCCATACGTTTCCAAAGCGTATCCGTATCTATATATGTATCTGTATCCGTATCCGTATCTGTATCTGAGTTGTCCGATACGATACCCGATATCGATACTTTAATCCTTGAAGTGTAAAACTACATCTCAAATCATATTCAGTGATTTTGTCAATCCCCTTCTTGTGGGGAATCCTTTTATTGTATTTCTCATTTCTTAATAAATACACTTGTCAAAGCACCCCTGTTTCTCATTTTTCTTCCCAGTACGTTCTGTTAGTATTGGAAAATGTGACAACTTGTTGGTGCACTGGCAGGTTGAAGAACTGTATTCGTTGGACCTGGATTCTCTGAACAATCTTCGGTCAGTTGGACCTGGACTCTGTGTGTGTGTGCGCACGTGTGTGTCTGCATTGCTGATTTTGTCATACGTGCAGGCCAGTATATGGGTTGATATTCCTTTTCAAATGGCGCCCAGGGGAAAAAGATGATCGCCTCGTAATGAAGGATCCAAACCCGAACTTATTTTTTGCAAGCCAGGTTTGTCCAAATTATGACAATATCTATGTTACTGAGCATTGACTTTTAAGTGTCCATGATTAAATGTTTTCATATCCATACAGGTTATTAACAATGCATGTGCAACTCAAGCAATCCTTTCCATCCTTATGAACTGTCCAGACATTGATATTGGCTCAGAACTGTCAATGTTGAAAGAATTCACCAAGAATTTTCCACCTGAACTCAAAGGATTGGCAATCAACAATAGCGAAGCCATACGTACAGCACACAATAGCTTTGCAAGACCTGAACCATTTGTGCCAGATGAGCAGAAAGTTGCAGGCAAAGATGATGTATACCATTTTATTAGCTATTTGCCTGTTGATGGTGTTCTATATGAGCTTGATG